CCGTTCGACTTGGTCGTAAATTTCTTCTACATTTTTCCTATCTGTAACAAGTAATTGACAACAGTTTTTTACATATTAAATTAAAAGTGTGTTATTTATTATAGAATTTGCGAGGTATTATACCTGAATCCCGTACAACAGATTTTTTGACAAGGATTTCATCCACAAAACACACAAAAACCATTTCCACTCGTCGTGAATCACAAAATTTAGTTAGTAAAATTTCAAAGGTTATATTTCATGTAAAACCGAGAGTGCTTTAATCGCCCATGATTGTGTGATATATATAAGTAAACTTAAGGTTGCTGAATTCAAAATTATCTTTTTCTTACATACAAATTCTCATGTCTAGTGATTTTAGCTAAGAAATGAGTAAAATTCACATACATAAGTTAAAAAAGTAGGTAATTTTGAACCAATATTTATTGAGCTAAAAGTTACATCATGTGCTACTAATTTTTCTTAACCCTGGAAGTGCTTAGGTCTTTTGACCCTGTCTGCGTGCTGCTTAGTGGAAACGACTAAGACCAGCTTTAAATTTAAATAACAAACATAAAAAGTTAAAAAGAAAATACATTTTATAATTTTTAGTCCTTTATATTTTTTAAAACACATTAACAAAATATTAAATACATATTCTTTTTTCTGTTATAATAATGAAAAAGTAAATTACTTCAGGGAGGGTTAAATACGAAGAGTAACACGATTTTTGTTAGTCGAATCGAATAACGAAGCGCGTCCAGGAGTAATGTAATTAAAATCTAATACTTCTTCGATTTACGATTATTTCTACTATTTTGAAACTAGGATTAAAGTAGTCGTAATCGTAGACGCACTTAATTACACATGTAATTCCATCGCCCGGCTCAAATTTAGATAAAGGTTTTGCTACGCAAGTGCACATACTTATGTACATATACAGCGAAGCAACACATGTGTTGAGTCTTTAGCGCAGTGCCCGCCAAACACTTTCCTGGGAAACGAACTATATTCGGCCTTTCACATGTACACAATCGGCTTATTACACGTACACAACCCGAACGTCAACAGAAAGAGTAGAAGAGCAACAAATTTTATTTAGTTCCATGCAAACAATAGGCGAAGCGGGTTGATGACGCATTATTGTTGAATAAAGTAGGTACACTGAGCAGAATGAGTGAATATTCATTCCAAAATTTTATAACACAATTTTTCGTACATACACCCCTAGAAATAGGTATGTATATGGTACCAAGTCGTGCTTTTTTCTTCATATTAAAAGAACTTTGTGAATTTTGTATTTTTTTTAAATACCAGACTAGTCCTCAATTAAAACATACAATATGTTTTGTTATTTATCTTTTGGTTTAGTCGTTATTTTAAACTGTTCTTAAATGTCAAGTTTTACCTAATTTTAAAATAAATTTATATTAGATATATATATTTTCATTTTATTTCTACTTGAAATCAACGAAATTTTCTTTTAATATTCAGAGTGCTCGAAGCATGTTATCTTTTTTGCTCAGAAATCCACCCTTAAATTATAAAAAAATAATAATAATTTTGTACAATACATACAAAATTTTAACAACTTTTTCCTTTCTCAGGGCCGTTAACTTTCATTATATGTTTCTATGTTGTTTAGATCTAAAAAAACGCACAATGAAAAAACTGCAAAAAAGCATACCAAAGTTTTTATAATAAGTAATACAACACAGAAACTTTTTTCCGTGCATTACCACCAACACATTCTCATTTTTTATTTCATAACTAATGCATTCTCATTTTAAGACTTTTCTCTTTTTGGCGGACACTGCTTTAGCGAGAGCTTGTTTGGGTTTTTTCCCACATTTCACTCGCATCTGCTATCATTTGCATTTGGCATTTGGTCCGCTGGGTACACTTGCAGTCATATGATTGTGACAAATAATATGAACGGAAAACAGCAAACGAATCAAAAAATACATAACTAATTTCGTGGAAAAATCTGTAGTATTATAAAAAACAGCAAGTGCACGCGCTAAACCTTGTTGACGATTTTCGTTACTCCGGCTTATGGAAATCGTCAGATTAAGGACTGGTACAGAAAGTTCTGCAAATTTTGAACCCGCTACAAAATGTTTAGCAATGGCATAGTAGGCTCTGAATAAATTGCTTTCAAACTGGTGTTTCATTACATTTTCAAAACTATGTTAGTTTCTGCAGTCAAAGCATTACCAAGGAAAAAAATTAATACGAACGAAGAGCTCCGCAAAAAAATTCTGTACATTTGGACGAATAATCCCAATATAAGTTACAAAAAGTTGGCGAAACTCACTGGATCAACTTATGACACTGCACGGAGGACGGTTTTGCGCATTAAGAAAGGTGGCTCAGTGAAGGACAAGCCGAGAAGTGGCCGCCCAAATGGATCAGCAGACGCCCAGTTGGAGAAGAAGGTAATAGCCATAATTAGGAAGAACCGCTCCATGTCAACAAGAGATATCGCCATAAGAGCTAAAACCACGCATGTGCAGGTCACTCGAATCAAGAAAAGAAATGGTATCAAAACTTACAAAAAGAAAAAAGTTCCAAAACGAAGCGAAAAACAAACTTCAAAAAGTGTTTCCCTTGCACGTAAGTTGTATGAGACACCACTGGCAAACAAAAATTTTTGTGTGATTATGGACGACGAAACTTATTTGAAAATGGACTTGAGGACATTGCCGGGTAACCAATTTTACTGCCTGGAGTCTGGAGAAGACATTTCTGATTCGGAAAAAACCATCCAGATAGAAAAGTTTGGTAAAAAAGTTCTAATTTGGCAAGCCATATGTGAATGCGGGCATAAATCCACGCCATTCTTCACTATGGGAACCATCAACACTGAAATTTACGTGAAAGAGTGTCTTCAAAAACGTCTTCTGCCCTTCCTACGTCATCATAATGGCCAAATTATGTTTTGGCCGGATTTGGCTCCAGCACATTATGCTAATATCACCCAAAAGTGGTTCGAAGATAACAATGTGCATTACGTGAGGAAAGACTTGAATCCACCTAATTGAGCGATATTGGGCTCTGATGAAAGCCAAACTTTTAAAAATGGGGAAACCAACCAAAACTATTTCAGACAAAACCGTTGTACAAAACTTGATGTCAGGTCTCTCCAGAAAAGTTCGGGCGTATGGACAGAAACGAATAAATTGACACAATTTCTTTTCGTATTATCACTATAAACATTTAGTTTTATATTAATTAAAACAAAAATATAAAAAAAAGTTGTCGTATGCACTTAATGGGCGTTTTTTAATTTGGAGAACTTTCTGTACCGGTCCTTATATACTTTCCGTTCAGCTGTTTGCTTCATAATAAAAAAAAATTGGCCGCGCTCGAGAATGTCAAGGTAACGTCTTTTTTCAAGTTTGCGACCCCCCCAATCCCTTGTGTCACGCTCAAATCGTCAGATTATTGAAATGCACACTTTTCAGCATGTAATTAACCCACCATTTCTCAATCTGACTCGCTCGAGTAAATCCACCTATAAATTTTGTTTACTATTCTGATCAGCTGTCCTATGCGCGCATAGATGGCTTAGATTTGGCAGAGGTACTCAACAGGATGCAGGGTATTCCCCATATGTTAATCTGATGCGCTCGAGTAAGTCCCCGAATCCCCTCTTGGGCTCCCCCACTATTAAGAGAGGGATTTTCTTCAGATTACATTAAAATATTCACGGTGCCTAAAAATGTTGGTTACTTAGCGGTTTAGGTGCTTAAGCGGGTTTCACTGTACTTTATTAGCGGCGGCTTGTAATGAGCGGGAAGTGTGCCCTCCCTGCTTGAATATATCGGTTTGTTGATCCTCAGAGACACCAGGTGAGAGAGTCAAGTGGCGAAGATGCTGGCGGTCGGTTGTGATTGCAGAATTTCGACGTCTGATCTTCTTTATGTTTTCGGCGCACTTACGTGCACGAATCTTGCCTGTTAGAATGTAGTGGTCCAGGTTTTTATTTAATCCACGGCTCTTACGTATGTCTGGAATACTGTAAACCAACCTTGCGTCAATCACAACGCGATCGATTTATTAATTCTCTATTCCCACATTTTAAAAATTAAAAAAGCCTCTATACCAAAAAATTAATATTTGGCGCTTTTATTTAAAAAAAAAATTCTACTTTAATTTGTAATGTGCGTCGCCGTATCCGAAAAGCCAATTGTTTTTAAGTGAAGCTTTTGTGGATTTGCCCGAGTGTTTTCAAGCGCCTCCACCCACACAAATACGGCAAAAGAAGTGATACATTTGTGAAAATGATAAAAAAATGTTTGTTAAGGAATTATAATAAATTTCATAAAAACTTTCTTTTCTAAAGATTTCTAACAAAAATCGATGTAACCAAAATTGCTTGCTCTTAATAATTCTGTATAATTATAAAGATAACAGACAGGCGAAAACGTTGATATCAATCTGTAGATTCTTATACTCTTTTTATTTGAGTAATTTGATTTAGTGTCAATATATAGTATTTATGCAAGTATGTATATATATATACATACGTAAGTCTGTATGTACAGCGCTGAAAATGTTATTCTTCATTTGAAGAGCTTGTGCATTTGTTGGGATGTTAAATTACTGTTACGTACGTACGTACGTATGTATGCATGTGTGCACAACACATTATCTGCATACACACAATGTATGTACATATATGGAAGATTGAACACATACGTATTAGTATATAAAAGAAACATTTTTGCAAATTTCTGCACAGTGTTACAGTTAGCATCACCAAAAACACTAACGGCAGCAGCATTGTCCGCAGCAATTATCAGTTCCAATATAACATGAGAAACGTTCTTGGTAAGTTGAACTCAAGTTTTTCGTAACCAATTCTATTGCCTTCAGTTTACTATTCAATAATTCCTTCATGATTTCGTAGCATTCCTTGGTGCGCTTTTAGCTTTGGCGGCTTTAACAAACGCCGCCGCTGTAAATGGAAGAGGATGTAGCGGAGAAGAACCAATTGTGACCACAACAATTGCTCCATGTACAAGTTCAACACCTGCACCAACAACAACAGCGCGCACAAGAAGTACTACAACAACATCCAGCGTTACTACCACTGAACCAACAACCGCGTGTGCCCAATCAACAACCACTGCTATCACTACAACTCCTGCTCCAGCAACAACCACAGTCCTTACAATAACTACCACGTTTACTGCAACAACTCCTGCTCTAACCACAACCACGTGTTCAGCATCAACTACAGTTCCTACAACAACTACCACGGTTGTTGCAACAACTCCTACTACAACAACAACCACTGCAACTACTACAACTCCTTCTCCAACTACAACCACAGCTGCTATAACAAGTACCACGGTTGTTGCAACAACTCCTACTACAACAACAACCACTGCAACTACTACAATTCCCGCTCCAACTACAACCACGTTCTCAACAACAACCACAGCTGCTATAACAACTACCACGGTCGCTGCAACAACCCCGATTACAACCACGTGCTCAGCATCAACTACAGTTCCTACAACAACTACCACGTTTGTTGCGACAACTCCAACAACAACCACTGCAACTACTACAATTCCCGCTCCAACTACAACCACGTTCTCAACAACAACCACAGCTGCTATAACAACTACCACGGTCGCTGCAACAACCCCGATTACAACCACGTGCTCAGCATCAACTACAGTTCCTACAACAACTACCACGTTTGTTGCGACAACTCCAACAACAACCACTGCAACCACTACAACTCCGGCTCCAACTACGACCACAGCAGTTATAACAACTACCACGGTCGCTGCAACAACCCCTCCTACAACAACAACCACTGCAAGTACTACAACACCAGCTCCAAGTACAACCACGTCCTCAACAACAACTACAGCTGCTATAACAACTACCACGTTCACGTGTTCAGCATCAACTACAGTTAATACAAAAACTACCACAGTTGTTGCAACAACTCCTACTAAAACAACGACCACTCCAACTACTACAACTCCGGCTCCAACTACAACCACAGCAGCTATAACAACTACCACGGTCGCTGCAACAACCCCTACTACATCCACGTGCTCGGCTTCAACTGAAGTTCCTACAACAACTACCACGGTTATTGCGACAACTCCAGCAACAACCACTGCAACCGCTACAACTCCGGCTCCAACTTCAACCACAGCTGTTATAACAACTACCACGGTCGCTGCAACAACTCCTCCTACAACAACAACCACTGTAAGTACTACAACACCAGCTCCAAGTACAACCACGTCTTCAACAACAACCACAGCTGCTATAACAACTACCACGGTCGCTGCAACACTTCCTACTACAACAACAATCACGTGTTCAGCATCAACTACAGTTCCTACAAAACCTACCACAGTTGTTGCAACAACTCCAACTACAACAACAACCACTCCAACTACTACAACTCCGGCTCCAACTACAACCACAGCTGCTATAACAAGTACCACGGTAGCTGCAACAACTCCTACTATAACAACAACCACGTGCTCAGCGCCAACTACAGTTCCTACAACAACTATCACGGTTGTTGCAACAACTCCTGCTACAACAACAACCACTCCAACTACTACAACTCCGGCTCCAACTACAACCACAGCTGTTATAACAACTACCACGGTTACTGCAACAACTCCTACTACAACAACAATCACGTGTTCAGCATCAACTACAGTTCCTACAAAACCAACCACAGTTGTTGCAACAACTCCAACTACAACAACAACCACTCCAACTACTACAACTCCGGCCCCAACTACAACCACAGCTGCTATAATAACTACCACAGTCGCTGCAACAACCCCTACTACATCCACGTGCTCGGCATCAACTGAAGTTCCTACAACAACTACCACGGTTATTGCGACAACTCCAGAAACAACCACTGCAACCGCTACAACTCCGGCTCCAACTACAACCACAGCTGTTATAACAACTACCACGGTCGCTACAACAACTCCTACTACAACAACAACCACTGCAAGTACTACAACACCAGCTCCAAGTACAACCACGTCCTCAACAACAACCACAGCTGCTAAAACAACAACCACGGTCGCTGCAACAACTCCTACTACAATAACAACCACGTGCTCAGCATCAACTACAGTGCCTATAACAACCACCACGGTTCTTGCAACAACTCGTACTACAACAACAACCACTGCAACGACTACAACTCCGGCTCCAACTACAACCACAGCTGCTATAACAACTACCACGGTTACTGCAACAACTCCTACTACAACAACAACCACTGCAACGACTACAACTCCGGCTCCAACTACAACCACAGCTGCTATAACAACTACCACGGTCGCTTCAACAACTCCTACTACAACCACGTGCTCAGCATCCACTACAGTTCCTACAACAACTACAACGGTTGTTGCGACAACTCCAACAACAACCACTACAACTCCGGCTCCAACTACAACCACAGCTGTTATAACAACTACCACGGTCGCTGCAACAACTCCTACTACAACAACAACCAGGTGCTCAGCATCAACTACAGTTCCTACAACAACTACCACGGTTGTTGCAACAACTCCTACTACAACAACAACCACTGCAACTACTACAACTCCGGCTCCAACTACAACCACAGCTGCTATAACAAGTACCACGGCAGCTGCAACAACTCCTACTATAACGACAACCACGTGCTCAGCACCAACTACAGTTCCTACAACAACTACCACGGTTGTTGCAACAACTCCTACTACAACAACAACCACTGCAGCTACTACAACTCCGGCTCCAACTACAACCACAGCTTCTATAACAAGTACCACGGCAGCTGCAACAACTCCTACTATAACAACAACCACGTGCTCAGCACCAACTACAGTTCCTACAACAACTACCACGGTTGTTGCAACAACTCCTACTACAACAACAACCACTGCAGCTACTACAACTCCGGCTCCAACTACAACCACAGCTTCTATAACAAGTACCACGGCAGCTGCAACAACTCCTACTATAACAACAACCACGTGCTCAGCACCAACTACAGTTCCTACAACAACTACCACGGTTGTTGCAACAACTCCTACTACAACAACAACCACTGCAGCTACTACAACTCCGGCTCCAACTACAACCACAGCTTCTATAACAAGTACCACGGCAGCTGCAACAACTCCTACTATAACAACAACCACGTGCTCAGCATCAACTACAGTTCCTACAACAACTACCCCGGTTGTTGCAACAACTCCTACTACAACAACAACCACTGCAGCTACTACAACTCCGGCTCCAACTACAGCCACAGCTGCTATAACGACTACCACGGTCGCTGCAACAACTCCTACTACAACAACAACCACTGCAGCTACTACAACTCCGGCTCCAACTACAGCCACAGCTGCTATAACGACTACCACGGTCGCTGCAACAACTCCTACTACAACAACAATTACAGTTCCTACAACAACTTCTACGCGAACAACAACTACAAAAACTCCTGCCCCGACAACGACCACCGTTGCTGCAACAACTACAACGACATCAACTGCGTGTGCGGCGTCATCAAGCACAGTTCCCACGACAATTTCTACAAAAACAACCACTACTGCCACTCCAATATCTCCCGCTCCAACCACATCTCCTGTTATTGCTACAACAAAGAAACCATGCGAAACAACCATTCCGCCATGCACCACAGTACCACCACCTTGCTCTGACTCGCTCTCTGTAAAATCCAATAGCCAACAAGCTAAGCCATCCATTGCTATAACGCATCCACAAGCCACCGATTCCAATAACGATCATTATGTTCTGACGGCTTGTTTGGATAAAAAGAACGGCTTCCTGTTACCTGCGTTGAGTAACTGCAACGATTTTTACATTTGCCGTGAAGGAGTTGCTGTTCAGGTCACTTGTGGTGACTTGCATTTCAATCCTCTTAGAGGAGTGTGCGATCTTCCCGAATATGCTGGCTGCATTCGACATGTGTCATATTGAGCCTCGAAAGCACTGCCAGAAAAACTATGAAATCGAAATTTAGGACCTACCAAAGTATTGATGATTGATGATGTGTAATAAAATGTTTAAATTTATATTATTAAAAAAAAAATTAAGTAACTATTCCCGAGAAAATAAAAGCAACATTCAACTAAATTTGAAGTTTTTCATTTCATGCATAAAAATTGTCAAATCATTATCCCAGTAACGGATTTGTATACTAATAATATATTGGCGCGGAGGGACCTGCAGTTTTACACCTACTCCGAACGGCGATTGTATTTATTTTTACGATAAGCTGTTTGTCATGGCAGAAATACACTCAAAGGTTTACCACTGCCTGCCGAGGTGCGACCGCTATTAGAAAAACTTTTTTTCTAATATCTTACAATCACTGCTAACAACTACACCACAACTGGATAAAATAACGCCTACCCAATCAACGCAGTTAAAGAAAATCAGTTTTTTACGCTCCTGTAAAATTTGAGTACCGAAAGCAGTGCATGGAATTTACCACTTTATTGGTAGATAGATCTACCAACTTTTTAGCTATATTATATTTTCTACTATTTTTACCAAAAAAGGCTAAAAATTTACCAATATATTCCGGAATGAAACAAAGAGATTTAAATGAACATACTTATTTTGTCATCGAACACACTTCAAATAAACATTAAAAGTTAACTCTGACGGAGAATAATGGTTTGAGCCTCCCTCCTACTGAATTAATACGGGGCCTGAATCAGGGCATCCGTGATAAAATCAAATTTAATACGAAATTCGGTCGTGAGTTCGCTTTTTCAATTCAAAGTCTATTGGAGAAAAACAGCTGTTACATACTTTATTTCATTCGATTGTAATCGCGATTCCTTCGATCACGGATGCCCTGATGCGGGCCCACAGTTATGTATGTATGTATGTTTTTTGTTGAATATTTTATTCACGTGAAATAGTTTTTTGTTTAATCTAACAATAAAATTTATCCTAAAGCGAATTCATATAAGATCATAGCAGGTGTATAAAACAATACTTACACTAACAATGGCAGAAGAATTACATCAAAAACATCATTTTGACATTAAGAACCACCGAGAGGACAATCCAGCCGTTCTGGTAGCACCATCTTTTATGAAATCGCCATGTTTTATTCTATAACTATTTAATATTGTTTCCTTTAAAAATTTTTGATGTCCGCTATTGATTTTTTCGAAGTCCACGCACTGACCGTAAACTAGGCGGTTTTTCAAAGGCAGCGACAATATTAGCTTTGTTCCACACGAACCCGTGGTATCCGCGGGTGCCCAAAACAGTCCAGAAAGCGTTACTCACGCTAGAAAAATGGGTAATAGAGAGCGAATATTTTCCACTTTTGGGTCGTAAATGTCTTATTCTTCGTGCCCGAAACAGCCCGGACTTTTTTCCGGGCAGAAATGTGCAAGAAGTCAATTTGAAATAACAGCTGTTGTTTGTTTACATCCGGTATAAAATTTTGTTAAATATAAAATTATAAAATAGGACTAAAGGTTCAGAAATGGAGGTATTTGCTAACTTTATTAACTATATAAGATAAATACACATAAAATCATTGTTTAGAACTGATTTGTTGATTCCGGGCGGGAAAAGTGGTTTTTGCGTTCCTCACGCTCTGGGCACTTTTGGCACGGGTTCACACATTTTTGACACTTGTGAGAGAGTAACTTACTTTTACGCTCTAATTACCAAAACAGCCCGGAAAGCGTGTGGAATAAACCTATTATATGATCTATTCTATTTCATAAAATAAATTTGTATCACAGTGTAAAAGCTTCTATGGGTCTTAGGCTTCTTCTTCTCTATTGGCGTTGTAACCGCCTAAGCGATTTTGGTCGAGTCCAAAACAGCAAGCCAGTCGTTTCTCTTCTGTGCCAACTGACGTCAATTGGAAATGCCAAGTGAAGCCAAGTCCTTCTCCACCTGGTCTTTCCAACGCAGAGGAGGCCTTCCTCTTCCTATGTTACCATCATTGCGACTCGCGTTTAATGCTTTCAGAGCTGGGGCGTTTCTATCCATTCGAACGACATGACCTAGCCAGCGGAGCCACTGAATTTTAATTTGCTGCACTACGTCTATGTCGTTGTAAAGTTCATACAGCTCATCGTTAAATTGCCGGCGGTATTCGCCATCGCTGACGCGCAAAGGACCATAAATCTTGCGCAGTATCTTTCTCTCGAAAACTCCAAGAGCCGCTTCATCAGATGTTTTCATTGTCCATGCCTCTGCGCCATACACCAGCACAGGCATGATGAGTGACTTATAGAGTGCGGTTTTTGTACGATTAGGGAGGACTTTATTTCTCAGTCGAAAGTTGCACTTGTTGGCAAGAGTAATTCTCCGTTGGATTTCAAGGCTGACCTTATTATTGGTGTTAATCGTGGTTCCCCATAAACGAAGTCGTTTATTTTTCAAACTTGTAACTGTGGTGCCAAGATGCGTATGCTCTGACTGTTTGTGTGATGACAGGAGATACTTCGTTTTGTCCTCGTTCACCACCGGACCCAATCGCTTTGCTTCTCTATCCAATCCCGAGAAGGCAGAACAGACGTAGCCATTGTTTTTACCGATAACATCGATGTCGTTGGCATACGCCTGCAATTGTACGCTTTTGTAAAGTATTGTGCTTGATCGGTTCAGTTCTGCGGCTCTTATTATCTTCTCCAGCATCAGATTAAAGAAATCACACGAAAGAAAGTCCCCTTGTCTGAAACCTCCTTTGGTATAAAACGCCTCGGACAGGTCCTTCCCTATTCTGACGGAGCTGGTGGTATTGCTCAACGTCATTTTATAGAGCCGTATTAGTTTCTCGAGGATACCGAATTCCGACATCGCGGCATAAAGGCAACTTCTCTTCGTGCTGTCGAAACCGACAAATAGATGGTGTGTGGCGATCCTATTCTCGCGGGTTTTTTCCAAGATTTGGCGTATTGTGAATGCCTGATCTATGGTGGATTTTCCAGGCCTAAAGCAACACTGATGGAGGATGGTTCCGTGCGCAGAAGTGGAAAACTTTTGACTGCCATTCACCTGGGAGTGGCCAGAAGCGATTCTTGTGCGTACGGTTCAAATCGCAGCTCACAACGTCCGGATATTTATATCCACGTATCCTCTGGGTAGCAACCAAACACCCGTTTGGGAGCGAGCTAAAGTGAGAAGGCGTAAAACTTCGCGTGCGCTGGGTTTGGGTCCCGCCACGTTAAAACCCCGCCCAATGAAAA